TGTCCCTGTCAGCCGCTGACCGGAGCCAGGTGCGCGGTGGGGGGCGGGGCGACCCGGCAGGGGGCGTGGCGAAGGCTGCTGATTTCCTACCGCAAACCACACACCCGCTTCACCTAAAGCCGAAATTAAAGCCAGGAGGCACCACCCCTTGTGGGCCCCTGAAAACTACAAAACCAAGTTTGGAGACAGTTCAAAGGCGCTTGGGTTGGCCAGTGGCAATTTTTGTTTCCCGTCCCCCTGCACAGGGGACAGCCCTCGCGCTGCCAGCGGCTCTGGCTGGGGGTGAGTCCGGAACCTGTGAGCCGCGGAACTCTGGGCTCGGAGCTCCAATTTCCGCTAGGCGCGTCCTTGCGGTGCGCTTTCCCAGCGGCTCTCTGGCCCCGCTTGCCGCTTGTGTGGGGAGTTGGAGACAGCCATGGCCCCGCGGGCCTGGCGCTGACAGACCCTGCAGCGGTGTCTGACGGGGATCGGGGGTGGGCAAAGCCACCGGCTGGCCCAGCACATCCTCACATAAGTCCGCAGATCCCGGGCTCAGGTGCGACTGGGGTCGCACGTGGACGCGGGTTGCAGGCCCCTGGCAAATTGCTGAGCTGGGGGAAGGTAAGGGGAAATGTAATTCACTTTTCCCCACATTTCAGAGGACCTAGGCTACCAACATTTTAAAAATTGTTGAAGTTTTTACAGTATGGCTCTGTCCGTTGAATGTTATTGAAATAAACCGAACCTCAGTTATTAACGCCTAGAAGCTCCCCTTGAGGCTTGTTACGGCCCCATCCCCCTACACACAAACTGTATTGGTTTCTCCTTCCGCCTATGTGCTCCTAAAGCACTCAGTGTTTACCTGTCATCATGCTTCATTGAAAGTACAAACTTGTCACTTGTCTGTCCACCCCAACTAAGCTTCTTGAGAATTAGAACTTTCGTGTCTCTTCCCAGCACAAGCGTTTCATGCGTATTTTGTTGAAGAACTTCAAATATGATCTATAAAATTATGACTCATTTATATTTCAAACTCCAACCTCTCCCTTGAGTTCCTGGCTCACAGCAACTACAGACTGAGCTTAGTTGGAATTCAGTAGCACACAACTGGGATATCCGCACTGTCCAGCTTTTAACGATTTTTAAAATTTTGGTACTGTCAGCATCGCAAATTCAGTGTCCAAAATAGAGTAGAATGTTGTTTCTACCCACCTATACTCTGCCATCCTCTGAAGTCCTTTCCCCATGGTCCACAACTCAAGCCTTGCCTATTGCAGTAAATGGCAGTTCTGTCTTTCCAGTTGCTCACACATAAAACAAGGCTGCTATTTTGATGTCTTCATTTTTCTCTATTCTGTATCTAATTCCTTAGCAATCCTGTCAGTTCTACCTCCAAACTGTACTCAGCATATTCACTGCTCTAACTCCAGCTTAAATCACCATGATCCTTTGCCTGGAATGCTGCATCAACCTTCTAATCACTCTACTTTCCTCTCCCTCCTTCCTCCCTTTCTTCTTCCTTCGTGTAAATTATCATTTCATCCTTCTGCTTAAAATCTTTTCGTGTTTTCTTATTACACTTAAAATGGCAAACTCTTACCTTGAGCCCTGCGGAATTTGGCTGCCATCAGTCTCTCCAGCTTCACCTTCTGCCTCCTTCACACTCCAGCCACGCTCACTTTTTTATTCCTCAGGCTTCCCAAGCTCAATTGCATCTTAGAGAATTTGTTCTTGCTTTTTCTTCTGCCTGGAATACGTGTTTCCCAATCTTTATAAGACTATCCTTATCTGTAGGTTTCATTTCAGATGTCACATCTAAGACAGGTTTTCTTTGACCACTGTAGCCAAAGCAAATGTTGATCACGGAATGAAAAAGGGAATGACTGAATGGAGTGGTGTGTAGTGTAGCAGAGTTGATAATTTAAGGCTAATTCACTATGTATCTCCAAGCAAAGAGATTTGTAATGCTTTTCCTGCCTAAAATCTATACAGCTGATTCACAAATACTTGGTTGACAGGTTTTATAGATCAGTGTGACTCATCAGCTTATATGTTGTTGGGGCCAGAATCTATACTTACACTTCATTCAAATTTGATTTTACCGAAGACTTGGGGTTTTCATTTTTCGTTTAATTAACAGAGCTGTGAAATTATTATCTGTAATTCTAAATCTCATTTAATTCCTCCCAATAGGATGTAAGACGGATTGGCATCAAAGTTCACTTCTTTAACAAAAGTGTTTTATGACTTTAATAAAATATTAGAGAATGGTAGACTCCATGGAAGCCCTTTACAAAAACTTGTGATAGGAAGTTTTGATGATGAGCGGACTTTGCAACAACTGGAATTGCAAAATGACCCAATTTTACAAAGCTTCCAAAATGCAGTTAGTGAAACAAAGATGAGGATATCAGTCTCCCAGAGAGTGAAGAACAGGAGTGTGAAGAGGATGGTTCAGAGACAGAGGCTGGTGGCCAGGAGGACCTAGAAGATTTACAGGAGGAGGAGGAAGTGTCAGATATGGGTGGTGACAATCCTGAAGTGAGTGAGAGAGCAAACTCAAGCAAATGCGATCTGAGGAAAAGCCCAGTTTTCAGTGCTGAGGATTCTAATCTTGACTTTGGTATCAACAAATTGGAACAGCAGAGCAAGGTACAAAACAAAACCAAGAGAAAAGTCCATAGTAGACAAGATATTCCTCCAACTCTCTGCAATGGAGGCCCTATTTAGTACACAGACAACAAGAAGAGGAACAAAAAGATGATGATGATGAGGTGGAAGATACTGATCTTTTTAAAGATATTCATGCTGATGAAGATGAAGGGGGACTCTCTGGAAGTAAGAAAGTTAAGGTAAAGTGTTGAGAGAGGACAGAGCCCTTTCCTCCTCCTCTAATTAGCTTTTGGTCTGTTTTTCTAGGAGAGATGTAATTGTAGTCAGAAGATGTAGAGCTAATAAATATTATGCTGTATCTTATCAGTTAAAATGAATCTATACTTCCATTCAGTTTATGTTCCAGTTGTTCCTGTAATAGTTTTATGGTAGTGTTTTTAGTTGCCAATTTCACCTAGTAACTATTTTTTGACTTGTAGTGTTATTAAGTTAGAAAGTAATGTAAACATACAGTACACATACAAATATATATGCATGTGTTAATGATGTATTTTTCTATTCCTAATTAATAGTTTTAAAAATCTTTTTATCTTAGTCAGGTAAAAGTTCCAGAAATGTGAAGTACAAAGATTTTTTTGATCCAGTTGAAAATGATGAACGCATAGCAAGTGATCATGATGATGCGCTGGGTTCAAACAAGATGATGAAATTGCTGAAGAAGCAGCAGAAGAACTAAGCATTTCTGAAATCTATTTTGAACCATCCTTTACAAGGTGAGCTGGAATTGCCCACTCATGTATTTGTACTTGTGGTTTGCACGTATGTTTGTTTTAAGAAGTTAGATTCTCTCCTATCAGATATTTTCAAGATAGCCAGAGGAAAGTCTCTGGATTTAAAGGGACATTAGAGATCAATTAATGAAGAAAAATATTACTGACAGTAGCAATCAAACCTTTCTTACCAGGAACTTTGATTTGGTTTTGTGCCCCCAAAATCCTGTTATTTTTGTGAGATAGGAGGTTTGTATTATAGATCAATGAATGATTTATTTTCTATATATTACACACTTTTTGTTCTGTTTCTTACATAGCATTTCACTGAAATGATACCTTCTCTTCCTTCATACCTGGATGATTTTGGAAGTTCTGAGTATTTGATTGCATTAGGCATATAAAAGAAGAACTTTATTGAGGGAAAATATATTTCCTTTTGTTTTTCTATTGGAAAGCAGTGTATTTCTTTTTATAAGAGTTTTTGTAGTGTTGGGATGAAGACGATGACCTGGAAGAAAGTGAAGACAGTAAACAATGTAAAGAAAGCTTGAAAAGAGTGACCTTTGCTTTGCTGGATGATGAGGCAACTGACGATGCAGGTGTTTGAAATGTAAAGAAAAGTTCTGATGACATTAAATCCTCTTTTGTAAAAAGACAGGAAAAGGTAATTAGGAATTTAAGGAATTTTTAATATGCTTGACATGATTGTGGAACTGACAGACTACTAACAAACCTTCCCTGTTTTCCATCTTTTTTGAGATGGAGTCTTGCTCTGTCATCCAGGCTGGAGTGCAATGGTGCAATCACAGCTCACTTGTACCTCCCGGGTACAAGTGATTCTGCCTCAGCCTCCTGAGTAGCTGAGATTAGAGGTGCTTTCCAAAATGTCTGGCTAATTTTTCTATTTTTAGAAGACATGAGGTTTCACCATGTTGGCCAGGCTGGTCTCGAACTCCTAACCTCAGGAGATTCTCCTGCTTCAGCCTCCAAAAGTGCTGAGGTTACAGGCGTGAGCCACTGTGCCTCAGCGTTCCCTATTTTTCTTGTAACTATTAACCATCCATCCTTTGAAAACAAATATCATGGCCAGGTGCAGTGGCTTATGCCTGTAATCCTAGCACTTTGGTAGTCTGAAATGGGAGGATCACTTGAGCTTATGAGTTCAAGACCAGGCTGTGCAACACAGTGAGACCTGGTCTCTAAAAAATATTCAAAAATTAGTGGGGAGTGGTGCTGTATGCCTGTAGTCCAGCTACTCAGGTGGCTGAGGCGGGAGGACCACTTGAGCCCGGGAGGTCGATGCTGCAGTGAGCTACGATCACATCACTGCTCTCCAGCCTGGGTGGTGGAGCAAGATCCTGTCTTCAAACAAACAAACATACAAACAGAAAACCAAAAATCTTGGGGCTACTCTCTAAAGCAAAAGCACAGTATATAGAGATGCCATATGGAAAGCATCTGATTTGCAAAAATCAGTGCCTGCATTACCCAGCCTATAGCTTTCAATGTGGGGACTGTGTGTAAAATGGTTGTTTCTTTTCTCTCTCCTTATGTCTTTATATGTATAGCATGTCTCTCCTGACAAAGCTGTCCTGAGAGCCTCTTGTAACTGTTTTCACTGCTCTGGAGGATACCGCCTGTGTCTTTAAGGTGCTCCACAGATTTTGGTGAGTGCAAAAAATAGCCGTAATTTTAATTAATACCATGACAAACATATCTTCCAAAGTATGTCTGATTTCAGACAAGTGAAATTTCATTTAAATTTAGTAGATGTAGTCTGGCTCCAATAATTTGGCTATATTATTTATCCAATCTTAAAATTGTATTATAATAAAAATGAGAATAGTGCCAGGCACAGTAGCTCACACTTGTAATCCCAGCACTTTGGGAGGCTGACGAAGGAGGATTCTTTGAGCCCAGGAGTTCGAGACCAGCCTGGGCAACATGGTGAAACTCCGTCTCCACTAAAAATTTTAAAAATGAGCTGGGGTGGTAGCGTGAGCCTATATTCTCTGCTACTCGAGAGTCTGATCCGGGATGATCGCCTGAGTCCAGGAGTTCAAGGCTGCAGTGAGCTATGATTGGACTATGGCACTCCAGCCTGGGGAACAGAGCTGGAGAATAGGCAAATAAGCCATACCAAGAATATCAAAAGAATTATTTTTAAAATCTTCGAACCTAAATTAAATTCATCATTGCCAGATTGTCCCTAGAGGATAAATTCTAAAGGCAAAAAAAAAAAAAAAAAAAAACCCCATAAAGTATTAATAAGTTAGTGTCCTTCCATCCCACTCCTCCCACCCTCCCCCCACAAAAAAGAAAGAAAGGTTTGGTTTTGCTTTGAAATTTTATTAGACCTTCAAGTGAAGTTTTCAGTAAATTACAAATAATTAATTGCAATTTCCACATATAAAGTAGAACTTTCAAGCTTTTTTCGTTTGAAACTGTTAGAATATGAAAACTCAAACCTGACAAAGGTAGCATTAACACACACACACACTCTTATTCATGACTCATGACGCAGACGTAGCACAGTGGAAAAATTATGCCACACAACCACGTGAACCTTATTCTTTGGAATCACTCTTAGAAGATCTGGTATGATTCCTGGTTGCAAGACGTTAAGGAGAAAATACACGGTTCCCTCCATATATGTTAGAAAGACATTTGATAAAATTCAGTATTTATTTCTAATTTTTTTTTACCCCTAGTGGATTATAAACACATCTAGCCAAAAACTGCCATCATGCATGATGGGTGAAATTCTGCAAACATCCCTTAAAGATCAGGAATAAGACAAAATGTCCAGTGTTACAGTTACCCCCGTTAATTAACACTAACAGTTAATCGCCACGTAAGCCAGTGCAACTACAAAAGATAAAGATAAGAGATTAGGAAAACTACAGGAAGCCGTGGTTCACACCTGTAATCCCAGCACTTTGGGAGCTCAGGAGCTCACAGCACTTGAGCTCAGGAGTTTGAGACCAGCCTGGGCAACATGGTGAGACCTCATCTCTGTGAAAAAATACAAAATGAGCTGGGAGTGTCACATGCACCTGTGGTCCCAGCTACTTGGGAGTCTGAGGTGAGAGGGCTGCTGGAGCCTGGGAGGCAGAGGCTGCAATGAGCTGAGATCGCGCAACTGTACTCCAGCCTGGGCAACAGAGCGAGACTCTGTCTAAAAAAAAAAAAAAAAAAAAGATTAGGGATACTAAAATGAAAACATTATTGTTTGGAGAGAAAACTGAATGGATAACCTGAATCGATACTGAGAACACAAGATAATTCTGTAAGGTAGCTGAAAAAGCTGGGATTTTATACACTGAAGTCATAATTGTTGTCTTTTATAAGTTAGAGATAAGAAGAATTTGAGTTTAGAGTCAAAAGGGTCAGGCTCCATCAAATACTAATATTCTAATCAAAGAATTACTTGCCCGGGCATGGTGGCTCATGCCTGTAATCCCAGCACTTTGGGAGGCTGAGGCGGGCAGATCACGAGGTCAGGAGATCAAGACCATCCTGGCTAACACGGTGAAACCCCGTCCCTACTAAAAATACAAAAAATTAGCCGGGCATGGTGGCGGGCACCTGTAGTCCCAGCTACTCAGGAGGCTGAGGTAGGAGAATGGTGTGAACCCGGGAGGCGGAGCTTGCAGTGAGCCTACATCGTGCCACTGCACTCCAGCCTGGGCGACAGAGTGAGAGACTCCATTTCAAAAAAAAAAAAAAAAAAGAATTACTTAACTTTAGGATGCTCTAATAATCAAAATTGATAGTGGCTTGTGAACAGATAGATCACTTGAATAGAATAGAGCTCAGATATAAACCCAAATGCTTCTGAGGGAGTTAAGTCTATTATAAACATGACATTTTAAATCAATGAGGAAAAGAAATCATTTGCAGCTCACCCCCCCATAGGCAGCAGGAATAGGAAGTCATTGGCAGAATAAAAAGACAGTAAGAACAGAATTGTGGAACAGTACATTTCTTGCTTCCCCACTTTTCAAAGTATTTTTTGCTTTTACACAAGTATAAGTGTAATATTATTTTCTAAGTGTATACTCATTCTTTTGTCTCTTTCTTAGATGAATGAAAAAAGTTATACCTTTAGAAAAAGAGTTGTTAGAATAAAGCCTCGGCAGCGTCAGGGGGCAGTGACAGCACAGAAGAGACCAGAGAATAGCCTCCTGGAGGAGACCCTGTGCTGCGACCATGCTGTCCGGATGGGTACGGTGCGCTCGTCTGCAGAATGTTCAATTCTGTGCTTTTTCTATAGTTCCCTTTCATAGAAACATTTGGGGTGATGTTTCTTTTCCCTCAACTTTTTATTTTAAAAACTTGCAAACATAGAGAAGTTGATAAAATCATACAGTGAACATCTGTACGCTATTCAACTGGATTCACTAGTTAACGTTTTGTCATATTTGTTTCTCTCTTCCGCGTATGAAAGATTGTATATGTGCCCTTTTAACCCCTGAATCATTTCAAAGTAAGTTGCCAGTATCAGAGCATTTCACTGTTAGGTACTTTTGTAGATATCTTCTAAGAACCAGGACATTCTCCTATATAATCACAATACCATTAATCTACCCCCAAAATTTAACATCAATACACTAATGATACCTACTGTATAGATTATTATCAGCTTTCTTGCAGTAATCTGTTTAGAAGACTTGCATCCTGTCACCATCCACTGATTAAATTTTGAACTCTCACTTGAAACCCTGGTCATCTCACTGCCTTCTTTCTTATACCCATTAAGTCAAAATGAGCTCTCATTTTATTTCAGTGGAAAAGAGAACGGAAAAGAGGGGAAGAGTCCCTAGGTACCTGGGATAAATATGAGCACTTACTACCCTACGTATTCTAGTTCTGTGGTTTTCAAACTCCAGGGAGCATCTCAAGGCTTATTAAAGCACAGATAGCTGTCCCTCTTGCCCACTTTCTGATTCAGGAGGTGTGGGGCTGGCCCAGGAATCTGCATGTCTAACAAGTTCCCACGTGTTGCTGATGCTGAGGGTCTGAGGACTACAATGCAAGAATTAGTGGTTTAGTGGACGTCTACCTAATGAATACATGTTTTATTTCCTTTAGCACCTGTGATTACAGAGGAAACACTTTTCACCTGGAAGATATCATTAAACAAGATAAGAGTTCAGGTCAGTAAGAATTAAATTTAACTTAATTGAAATATCACCTTGAAATGTTTAGAAATAATATGACAGGCCAGGCACAGTGGCTTATGCCTGTAATCCCAGTACTTTGGGAGGACAAGGCAGAAGGATCCCTTGAGGTCAGGAGTTTGAGACCAGCCTGTCCAAGATGGTAAAACTCCACCTCTACCAAAAATACAAAAATTAGCTGGGCATGGTGGTGCATGCCTGTAGTCCCAGCTACTCAGGAGGCTGAGCTAGGGGAATCGCTTGAACTCGGGAGATGGAGGTTGCAGTGGGCTGAGATGCGCCACTGCACTCCAGCCTGGGCAACAGAGAAAGACTCCGTCTCTAAATAAATATGTAAATAAATAAATAAATAATAAAAATAAAAAATAAAAGGAAGATGGGGCAGCTTTGCGTACTGCACGCTCTGAAAATGGGCTGTTTCCCTCGAGAGGCAGGGATTTAAGCTCTCTAGCCTACATGGGATACATACAGAAGAAAAAAGAAGAAAACAAAAAGAAATGTAAGTATAAATCAATGAAAATAACTCTTTTCCCTGATTACAAAGGAAATCACATTCTTTTTATAATAATTTGGATGACAAAATATAAAGAAAAATCTTTAATTTTGCCACTCAACACATTCTGGTTTGTTGCTTTTCACACTTTTTATGCCTAGAAACATTTTAACGAAGTAGAATCATAATATATGGTCTTTTGCCACTGACTATATTTTAAGCATGTTTCTATGGGAGAAATATATCCTAGCATCATCATTTTTAATAGCTGGATATATGTTAAGTGCATCGGTGCCACACCAGAGTGAATTTCCTTCCATATACTTTTTAATGGACTTGAGTAAGGATTTTTGCACCAAATTCATAGATGTAGAATTTCTAGAGGAAAATAATATGAAACAGTTTTAGGATTTTTAAAAGAAATTATCAAATGATCCTGCAGGAAAATTGGTTGAGTTTACACTCCCACCAACAGAGACGGAGCTCCAGGTTCCCCCTGCCATTTGTCATTTCTACTGGTCTTTAAGCAGAACCTCTCATTGTTTTCATTACATTTCTTTGATTTCTAGTGCTTTTGAATCTTTTTCATATGGTCATTGGCCATTTTTCTTCTAGTGGGAAGTGCCGGTTTCTCCATTGCCCATTTTCTGCTGGAAATCATTCATTTTTTTCTGAGTAATTTTAAAGATTTCTTTATAGGCTAAGGATATAAACCTTTTATCTGTCATTGAGGTTACAAAGACTTTCTCCCAGTAAGTAATTTGTCATTTCACTTTATTTATTTATGTTTTGCTAGCAAAGCACCAAAGTCAAATTTCACTTAATTATTATCCTGCTGAATGAAAATATTTTAACTTAGTGATTTTAGTGTAAATAGGAGCAGGACAGAATGTAATATCTAGATCTCATTCTGTCACCCCAACTGGAGTGCAATGGCATGATCATAGCGACTGCAGCCTCAAACTCCTGGGCTCAAGTGATTTTCCCACCTTAGCCTCCCAAGTAGCTCTAAGACTACAGGTGTGTGCCGCCATGCCCAGCTAATTTTTAAAATTTTTGCAGAGATGGAATTCGCTATGCTGCGCAGGCTGGTCTTGAATTCCTGACTTACCCCGCCTTGGCTTGCCAATATGCTGGGAATACAGGAGTGAACTACTGCTCCCAGCCAAGAGCTTACTTTTGTTTGCTAGGAGTGTTCTTGGTATTTTTTTGTATTTGAGACTTTCATGCTAGTGCCGAAGTATTACATTCACCATCTGAGGTTTACAGGACTTTTGTTTTAATATTGAACAGAGGGGACTGTTTAGTTTTCCATCTTTGCAGGTATATAAAATGTGCCTACCAGGACTCTGCTTTGTATCCATTGGAAAGCAAGAAGTAATACAGTAAAACTGTAAATCATAGAACTCTAGAAAAAAGCTTAGTTTGGTCTGGGATAAGAAGCACACAGGTAATGGAGCAAATCATGAAAAAGTCAATCCTTGATCCCAGGTAGCAAGCAGTACACAGTGACAGAACACAATTCTTGGTTTTCATGATTGCAAGTCATAGCCAAGTATCAAGTGAGAAATTCAGTTTCATTTTCAGGGCTTAGAGAGACCAGGTGATTCTAGAAAAATAGGATTTAGTGATTAACCTCATGAGAGTAGGAGTTATTTATGTCTTTTTTCTCTCCCGCATCGCTTAGCATTTAGCCTTACTTTAGAGGGTCCTGTATTTGTTTTAAACTTGTAAAGACCTTTGAGTACTTATTAAATGGAAAGCTTTCTGTGTGTGTGTGTGTGTGTGTGTATGTGTGTGTGTGTGTGTAGGTATGTATGCATGTATGTAAGTATATATGTATTTAGAAAAAAAGTCTCATTCTGTAGCCCAGGCTGAAGTGCAGTGGCATGATTTTGGCTCACTACAACCTCCGCCTACCAGGTTCAAGGGAGTCTCCTGCCTAACCACCCAAGTAGCTGGGATTACAGGCACCTGCCACCATGCCGTTAGTTGTGTATTTTTAATGGAGACAGGGTTTCATCATGTTGGTCAAGCTGGCCTTGAACTCCTGAACTCAGGTGATCCACCCGCCCCAGCCTCCCAAAGTGCTGGAATTACAGGCATGAGCCGCCACACCTGGCTCTAAAGCTTTGTGTTTTTAAAGATGTTAGACAGGTTTCTTGTTTTTTGTTTGTTTGTTTATTTAATAAAACCTTAACAATAATGTAGGAGAATAAGAGAAAGTTTTTCCAAAAAAGGGAAATCATTGTGATTATATTATCTTATTGGAATATAGGATAATATAGTCTTTATCAATCATCAAGCACACTATAAATTTCCATTTTAATAGGATTTGTACCTCAATTGAGGTTATACAGTTTTAAAGTTTTTAAAGTGAAAGGCAGTCCCGCCCCTGTCCTGGAGTGGGCGGGGACAGCGGTTGCATGGGTGGCTTTCCTTGTGACACCAGAGGTCCTTCATGACATGCTGCTGTCTGGCCACGCCTCATTTCCCTTTCATCTTATTGACCAATGAGCTTGAAGCATTGAGGCCACGCCCCTATTCTGCATTCTACTGTGGCCCTGGTTACGCCTCCTCTGTCTCAGTCACACAGCTACGTGGCAGGTGACTGGAGGTATATAGTTGTCCTCGCCTGGACTGTGCTGATGTGGCCCCAACCCCACCGCCCTACCCATCCCATGATGTCCAAAGAAACCCTACAGAAAAAATTGGCTAAGGCCAAGGAAAAGGTAAAATGTACCAGGTTGCAGCACCCCAACTCAGCCCCAGGCTCCCTCTGACAGCCAAACTGCTGCCAGAGTCTGTGCCACTCCTGAGGCACACCTGGCTGCCCCTCCCCCAGTGCCTGTGGGCTCCCCACACCCAAATCTTGTGAGCCAGCCCAACCCCCTCATGAGTCCTGCCCCTGTCCTCACCAGTCACCCCAGGGTGACTTTGAGCTGGTGACTTCTGGGGCTTCCCACTTCGTAGTCCACTCTTACCTCCTGCTACCCAAAACCCGACCTCCCTGGGGTCTTTGGGCTCATGTCTCCAAGCACCTGGGTGCCCCAGAACCTGCCCTCCACTGGTTGCCCCAGAGTCACTTTGGGCAGGTGACTCCTGCGGCTCCCTGCTCCATACTCGGCCCTCACCTCCCACCGCCCCAAGCCTGACCTCCCTGGGCCCTTTGGGCTTGCGTCTCTAAGGACCTGGGTCCCAATCCTGTGACCCCCCTCCCCAATCTCAAAGTGGCAACTTGGGCATTGCACTCACGTGTCCCCCCCACCACTCCACCGAGGAGTGGAATGTAGTGATGTCGCAGTCCTTCTAGGAACTGTCATTACTGCAACAAGACCGGTCTCTGGACTTAGGACCCAGTCCCCTAAGTGTTCTTGCCAATTTCAGGTTCCTCTGGTTGCAGCACAGGTTTCCAGCTGGAAGGGGAATGGGGACCCTGGAACCTAGGAGAGAGAGGTTTCAGGCTGCCTTACTTCCTTAATACAGACATTGACAGTGTGAAAAGCCGACAAGTCCCCCATGAGCTCAACACGTTAACAGTGTCTCTGGGTGGCAATGGGAGAACAGGTTTGGTTTAGTTTTCTCCCAGGCTTCTACTCTCCAGAGAGATTTTAACATTGTTTCTGAGTTCTCCACCTCAGATTTGAATTCTCCATTGTTCTGGGACCAGAGTGCCCCTCAGTCAGTGGTTGCTGGAGTGAGATCTGCCTATCTTCTGTGGAACAGATCTTGGGAAACTGAACTTGACAGCTTGAATCTTCCTCATCTCATCTCCACCTGGGGTACTTTGAGTGCCACAGGATAAATATGGAGCATCTTTCTGAAGCATCAGTTTCCCTTGATTCTACCGAGAGACAAAACATTAATGTACTTAGGGGTGACAGTCACATAGATGTATAAGAGTATACAAGACTTCTCTCTAAAATGAGGGTTGGGTTGTCCTCTTTCTGTTAAGTTCCCAGATTTCACAGAAAGGCTGCCTTCTGCCATGAGGATACATTAATATAAATTTTGAGAAGTACTGGTGCACTTCTTCACACTAACAGACGTGTGAGGATGTATGACTCTAAACCACACAGTGTACAGTTCCTGCCTACTTAATATTTGCTTTTCTACCTCTGCCTCTGGTTTTGGTCCCTGGCAGCTGCTGATTCTTGGCAAAACCCCAGAGGTTGGAGTCAGAAGACTGAGTTTAAGTTCCATTATTGCCTTCTTTTCAGCCATGGTATCAATCCCTCTCAGTCACTAAGTGATTGTGACAACACTTCCTACAGTTGTTGGTGGCATTAAATCAGATGGTCTATAATGGTATTTTGTATAAACGGTAAAGCAAGATGTGACTGTAGGAGCTTATAGTTCTCATGAGTATCACTGCTCTTCCTTTCCACAGCTGAGAGACTCTCATCCCCAGACCAGCCCTAGTGTTGGTAGAGGAGCAACTGACACCAAAAAGAAGAAAATAAATAACGGCACAAACCCTGAGACAACCACTTCTGGTGGTTGCCACTCACCTGAGGATGTGAGTCCTGGCTGGCCAGGCTCCTGGGGACAGAGGGCACAAGGGGTGGTGGAGGGTAATTGAGATTGTGGAAGAACTGCCAGGTACTGGTTAAGTATTCTGGGTTTGAATCCTTTCCATCTGCTGGGGATATGATTTAGGGCAAATTGCTTGAGCTCTTTGGGCCTCTCTTTTCACATCTGTAAAATAGGAGTGGTCTTGTTTTACTTACATTTGTGAAGTTTAAATGAGATTTATCATTGTTGTTTTTATGTTAATCCCTAGTCCACGGCCTGCTGTAAAGTCTCCTTCTCGGGCTTGCGTTTCCTGAGGTAGAGTTAGAGAGTGTCAGAGGTGTCTGTTAGCTCTGAGTGTCCGGGAGTTAAAGGCCCACTAGAATGGAAACCTCGGGACCGAGGGTTCCTGTCTGTCTTTTCCGTCCTATTCTCCCACTGTGAAGAACCGTCTCTGGCCCGTATGTGCTCAGTCAATGTCTGTTGAATGAATGCACCTTTCTAAATCACAAGCTGGCAGAAAGGTGGGCTTTTCTCACACTCCATCTCTGAAGGTTTCTGACTGTCTTTTCGAGAGAATCCAGTTTCAGACTTTGAGTTCTGTGGCTGTCGACAAAACCCAACAAAGACCCAAATCCTTTTACTTTGGGAGTTGAGGACAGTTTACCAGTTCATGTTCCCATTGGGTCTAAGAACTTTGCCTTGAAAATCCATCCCTGGCCCCTGCCTACTGCTTCCTGGCCTGGGGAATAGAGTCGAGGGGCCACATTCAGTCACCTTCCTTTGACTGAAACAACAGAACCAAGCTCAGCTGGAAGAAGTAACGTGATTTCTTTGTTTGCTCATGACATGGCTGCTGGGTTTGGAGGACACTCAGCCATAGAGGCCCCAGTCTCGTCTTGCCCACTCCCAGCCTGGGGAAGAAGGCTCAGCCCCCAGATCCCACCCCGTCCCCACAGGGTCCCTGATAACCTGGTCCCATGGATGGGCCTGTCCTGGGGCAGTGGTGCCATTCTGGGGGCATGTCTCTTGCTGTGCCATCTCTGCCTCCCCCTAGTAAGAGCTCTGTCTTCCTCTTTCTATAGGAAAAGAAGGCAAGCCACCAACATCAGGAAGCCCTAAGGAGGGAGCTAGAGGTGAGTGGAAGGTGTGAAGTTCCCTCCTATCCTCTGGAGAAGGTTTCTTTGCTTCTCTTTCAGCACTTGCTTGTCTTTTCTCCCAAAGGCCCAGGTTCATACCATACGAATCCTTACATGTGAGAAAACTGAGCTTCAGACGGCACTCTATTACAGCCAGCGTGCTGTCCAGCAGTTGCAAGGTGGGAATCTGGCACCCGGTCATCCTTCAACCTGGCACTTTGACAGGCCTTTATGGGGAGTCCTTTGGGCCGCATCTGAATGTCTCTCATTCCAGGAGAGTGCAGGCATCTGGTCGGCCGCCTGCATGATTCATGGAAGTTTGCCGGAGAGTTAGAGCGGGCTCTCTCTGCTGTTGCTACACAGAAGAAGAAAGCGGACAGGGTGAGTCCAACTACTTACCCTGTCCCCTGGGAGCCCAGCTTCACAGATGGAGGAGTGAGCCTAAAAGTCCCTTCTGCAGGATGGAGTGTCCTGCCCAGAAGGGAGCATGGCCATTTCTTGCTGCTTTTGTGTGTGGTTGTTAGAGGCCAACTGGTGCTGGGTCGGCTGCTGTGGGTGAGTTGGGGGGTACTGTGGGGAGTGAGCACTGGACATAGAGCTCGCAGGCCAAGTGCCCGCCCTTCCCATACTTGACTTGTTTTACTCTGGCTCATGCCTATAATGCCAGCACTTTGGGAGGCCGAGGTGGGTGGATCATCTGAGGTCAGGAGTTCAAGACTAGACTGACCGACATGGAGAAACCCCATCTCTACTAAAAATACAAAATTAGCCGGGTGTGGTGGCACATGCCTGTAATCCCAGCTACTTGGGAGGCTGAGGCAGGAGAATCACTTGAACCTAGGAGACGGAGGTTGTGGTGAGCCTAGATTGCGCCATTGCACTCCAAGAAGAGCCAAACTCTGCCTCAAAAAAAAAAAAAAAAAAAAAGAAAAGAAAAAGAAAGAAACAAAACAAAGACAGAAAAACAAATGAGACTGTGGGCTTGAAAGTGCCTTGAGACAATGTCAGGTGTGACTGGGAGTGGGGAGTGGTGTGTGGAGTGGTCACTGTGGCTGTTGTTCCTGGTCGGCCAGCCGCTCCTCTGCCTGCTCTATCCTGACTTCACCTTTCTCTATTTGCAGTACATCGAGGAGTTAACAAAGGAGAGGGATGCCCTGAGTCTGGAACTGTACAGGAACACGTAGGATGGGGGACGGTGGGATGGGAGGTCTGGGGGCTCTTAGCGTGGGGGGTGTGCTGGGAGGTGGGGGTACAGGTGAGCATGGTGAGAGGCTCATACAGGTTTTCATGTGTGCACAGGGAAGCTCTAGTGCCGGCTGTGCCATTGACTCATGGGGTAGCCTCAGGCAACTCATGTCTTGTCTCTGGCCTGCCACCTGGGACTTTTAATTCTTGGGGTCCCATCCAATGCCACGGTTCTGTGGTTGTGGGGTGAAAGCAGAGGGTTGATCACCACAGCGGTCCTTTCTGTTCTTCGTTCATTCCTTTATCTACTGCCTCTGGTCGTAGCATAACCGATGATGAGCTGAAGGAGAAAAATGCCGAACTACAAGAAAAACTTCGACTTGTAGAATCTGAAAAGTCTGAGATCCAGCTCAACGTAAAGGAGCTAGAAAGGAAGCTGGAGAGGGCCAAGCTCCTGCTGCCACAGGCAAGTGGCTGCAGCCCCGGGGGTTGTGGGATCCCCATCCGGCTGGGACCATGGTCTAGGGATCAAGCAGGATATGGGGAGTCTCCAGCCAAAAGCTAGAATATTTGGGTCCTTGTTCTGGTCCTGCCATAGAATCCTCTAGAGTGTGCTAAAAATCTACAAAGTGGGGCCCTGCCTGGGGAATCAGAATCTCAGAGTTAGGGCTTAAAAATATGTATTTGAAAGGATCATGGGTGAAAACCATTGTTTGATAGATTACATTTATATGACTATCTCATGAGTCTGTTTCCTTCTGAGGTTCAAACCAACACTTTCACTGTTCCAGCAGCAGCTGCAGGAGGAGGCTGACCACCTGGGTAAGGAGCTGCAGAGTGTGTCCGCGAAGCTCCAAGCCCAGGTGGAAGAGAACCAGTTGTGGAACCGCCTGTACCAGCAACAGGAAGAGAAGATGTGGAAGCAGGAGGAGAAGATACGGGAGCAGGTGGAGAAGATACGGGAGCAGGAGGAGAAGATACGGGAGCAGGAGGAAAAGATGCAGAGGCAGGAGGAGAAGATGTGGGAGAAGGAGGAGAAGATGCGGGAGAAGGAGGAGAAGATGCAGAGGCAGGAGGAGATGATGCGGGAGAAGGAGGAGAAGATGCGGGATAAGGAGGAGAACATGCGTGAGCAGGAGGAGAAGATACGGGAGCAGGAGGAGAAGATGCAGAGGCAGGAGGAGAAGATGCGGAGGCAGGAGGAGATGATGCGGAGGCAGGAGGAGAAGATACGGAGGCAGGAGGAGATGATGCGGGAGAAGGAGGAGAAGATGCGGGAGCAGGAGGAGAAGATGTGGGAGCAGGAGGAGAAGATGCGGAGGCAGGAGGAGAAGATGTGGAGGCAGGAGGAGAAGATTCATGAGCAGGAGCAGAAGATGTGGAGGCAGGAGGAGAAAATGCATGATCAGGAGGAGAAGATGCGGAGGCAGGAGGAGATGATATGGGAGCAGGAGGAGAAGATGCGGAGGCAGGAGGAGAAGATGTGGAGGCAGGAGGAGAAGATTCACGAGCAGGAGCAGAAGATGTGGAGGCAGGAGGAGAAAATGCATGATCAGGAGGAGAAGATGCGGAGGCAGGAGGAGATGATATGGGAGAAGGAGGAAAAGATACGGGAGCAGGAGGAGAAGATGTGGAGGCAGGAGGAGAAGATGCGGGAGAAGGAGGAGAAGATGCAGAGGCAGGAGGAGAAGATGCGGGAGCAGGAGTTGAGGCTGTGGCAGCAGGAGGAGAAGATGCAGAAGCAGGAGGTGAGGCTGCAGGAGCTGGAGGAGAGGCTGGGGGAGCTGGGGCGGAAGGCCGAGCTCTGGGGGAGCAGGCGGAGGTGGGTGCAAACCCTGGAGATCATACAGAACAACCTCACCACAACTTAGCAGATGGTGGTTGGCTCCCTCTGCTTTTCCACCAGTCTGTGGCGTACGGCTTCAATGGTGGGAAGAAGGGTGTGAGATTTGAGGCTGGGGAGGGAGGCATGGGCCTCTAGGCAAGGGAGGCAGTCACTTAGACCTGGAGGAAGGGGCTAGGAGCCAGGGGCCTGGGCAGGCGACAGAGCCCCACAGTGCCCTCGCCACCCTGTTTATGGGCCCAGAATCTGGAAGCCAGCCACTGCCTACCCTGACGCCTATCCTGCAGGTGGAGCTGAAGAGCCAAGAGGCTCAGAGTCTGCAGCAGCAGCGAGACCATTCCCTGGGTCCCCTGCAGCAGTACGTGGCCGCCTATCAGCAGCTGGCCTCTGAGAAGGAGGCTCTGCCCAGCTGCAGCAGCAGGAAGCTCAGGGCAAAGCGGTGGCTGAGATGGCCCCCCAATAGTTGCAGGAGACCCAGTTGAGGGAGTTGATAAGGGCCGGGCCTGGAGGGGGGTGACCTAGCAGCCTCCGTGCCTTCTCACTCTCTTTCCTGGCCCCTTAGGAGCACCTGGAAGCTGCCATCCAGCAGAACAAGCAGCTACACGCCCAGCTGAGCCTCATGGCTCTCCCTGGGGAAGGTATGGGAGACCGCTCAGAGGAAGAGGAGAGAGCCCCAGGAAGAGGGGGGACTGTTAGCAGCGTAGGATTGAGGAGTTGCAGGAGAGTTTTAGAACAGCTGGTCATTATGCCGACCAGGTATCCGCACTAAGTTCAGCATAGATATGGCGACCTCCTGGGAGCGGGGGGACACCAGGGTTGCCTATGAATGGGGGAACTGGCCCAGGGCAGAAATGGAGCATGTCAGAACTCCTGTGTTGATTGGTAGTGGGACTGCACCTGGGCAACGTAGGGAGACCTTGGCTCTTCAAAAAAATAAAAGTAAAGAACAGCTGCTGATTTCCCTCTGGGAAGGGGCTGGCCCAGGGTTGCACAGTGAGGATGGGGGCAGAGGTGGGCCCATTGTTACCTCCCTTGTTGGGTTGTCTGAGGAGCCCTCTGGCCACTCCCCACAGGAGATGCACTGGACAGGGAGAAGGTGGAGGAGGAGGAGGCACCTCAGCCCATGCCAAGCATCCCAGAGAAACTGGAGAGCCAGGAGGCCATGGTGAGCCTGACTCTTCCTACCCCAGCTTTGCTGTCTCCCTTGGTGGTCCCTCCCAGACCCCCTTACGCTCTTGGTTTCCCGCCTTCTGATTTCTCCGGACCCTCTACGTCATGCAGCATCTCTGCGGGGGTGGGTGTGGAGGTGGGTGTGGGCACGGGTGTGGCAACTGAGCACCTTTCCCTCCAGGTGGAGCTGGTGTTTCCGCTTGTGAGCGACCGTAACCAGGGACGTGGCGGATTGCGGGCAGCTGCCCAGAACCCTGCCGAAGAGTCTGCACCAGGGACCCCGGTCCCTCAGGAGCTCGGGGCTGCCAACAAGCAGGGTGGTGAGTAGAGCCCTTGGGCGAGGGGGGCAGGCAGGAGCAGGGGAGGGCTCGCACGGTGCTCAGTTTCCTGCCTTTCTCCCTCCAAAGATCTCTACAGCAAGCCCTGCCTGCCATTCTTCTACCGAGCACATGACAAGAAGGCAAAAATAATAAACATCTAAAAGCCGGCAGCGAGGCCTGGAGAAGAGTCAGCTGCCATGTGACTGTTTAGAATATAGTCAGAACACAAACCTGAAAAAAAAAAAAATTTATTTATTTTAAATTGTGGCAAAATACTGGCCAGGCACGGTGGCTCACACCTGTAATCCCAGCAATTTGGGAGGCCAAGATGAATGGACCACCTGAGGTCAGGAGTTCCAGACCAGCCTGGCCAATACAAAAATTAGCCGGGCATGGTGGCGCATGTCTGTAATCCCAGCTACTTGGGAGGCTGAGGCAGGAGAATCGCTCGAACCTGGGAGGCAGAGGTTGCAGTGAGCTGAGATCGTGCCACTGCACTCAAGCCTGGGTGACAGAGCAAGACTCCTTCTCCAAAAAAAAAAAAAAAGTTTCTTGCTTATCTTCCTTACATGTGTGTTTCTATTGTCTTTGGGTTTTTTTGTTTTTTTTTCTTGTTCTTTCTCATTTAGTCTTGTCTTGTCTTATGGCGTTGCTAGTAAACTTTTATCTGCCTCCAGAGAGTATTGACTTTGACTTTATGGCACACAATTGGAGTAAGCGCAGATCACCTTCGTCTAGTTTGGGACTAAGCTGGTTGAAAGCAGGCTTTAGTTTTTGTGAGGGCTGGTCTATTTTTTATTCATTTGGACTCCAAGGGGCGGCCCTTCCAGGGTCCCCACCAAGGTCCCATGTCCTTACTGGGACCCAAATTCTCATTAGGTCAGTTCAGCCCTGTGAGTGCCAAACATTCAGCTAGGCTCTCCAGCCTCTTAACTACCACTTCAGACTCAGTTTCTTAACCTCTTAGCCCTCTGTTGTTTACCAGTCACCAAATGTGGGAAAAGCAGTACAGACTGTCAGGGTCACCTCCTAGGCCTGGTCACTCAAGTCCTGGCTGAGGTCTCCAATTACCTTTAAACAGTTGTTTTTGGTGGGGGGCACATTTTTGTCCGGGTTTTTTAACTGTTCTTGTAGGGAGGCTAATCTATAACAAGCTACTCTGCCTTCAGTGAAAACCTTCATGTCTTTTTTTTTTTTTTTTTTCTGAGATGCAGTCCCGCTGTTGCCCAGGCTCTAGTGCAGTGGCAGGATCTCGGCTCACTGTAACCTCTGCCTCCTGGGTTCAAGCAATTCTCCTGCCTCAGCCTCCTGAGTAGCTGGCATTACAGGCGTGTGTCACCATAGCTGGCTAATTTTTATATTTTTAATAGAGACAGGACTTCACCATGTTTTCCAGGCTGGTCTCGAGCTCCTGACTCAGGTGATCTACCCGCCTCGGCCTCCCAAAGTGCTGGGATTACAGGCGTGAGCCACTGCGTCCGGCCCATCTGTCTTTTAAAAAATGTTTTAAATTTGAGGTATAATTTATCTTCAGTGAAATGCACAGATCTGGTATATATTTTGATGAATTTCAACAAATGCATTACCCATGTATCCCACCTCCTTTGAAGATATAGAACATTCCTATCATCCAGAAAGTTCTCCTGTGCTTTAACCCTGTCCGGCACTCCCCCAGCAGCTGATGAATGTGCTGAGGATATTGGTACAGGATTCTGGCCTCCCCAAAAGAGCTGCTTTGAGAAGCCTGCTTGCCTTACCCAGCACTAAGTCCCTGCCTGCTCTCTCAAAATTTCCATCTTTAAACTGGTTGTACCTATAACCCTCCCTGGTCAAGTCAGTAGATAAACCCTGAAAATAAACACCGCTTCCTGGCCCAGCAGCCACAGCCTAATCTTTCCTGTATCCCCAATTATCAGACATGTCACTCGCCCGCTGGTTCACCTCACTAGGGTGGCAGTTGTACAGGAGCAGCTGGGCTGACCCGTTAAGCAAGAGGCCAATAGCTGGACAGTGACACTCAGACCCCAGCCTGGGTGAGCCTGGCTGAAAGCCCCCTTCTTTCAGGTCCCACTGTGGAGAGAGGGGGCGGAGCATCCACAACTCTACTGCCCTCCGCATCCTTCAGCTGTGCTTCCTCCTGGGAGACGGAGCTGTTCATTCATTTGGCCAAAGCCTTCTTGAGGGCTGTAGGTTTGACAGGCTGGGTGTGTGGGGGCCACCGTGCTAGAGAGAGAGGCTGGTGTGTCAGAAGGCAGCCACCTGGCCAGAGGAGGGTCAACCCCCTTGGTGTCCTCCTTCCCCTGGCTGGACACAGCGCCCTGCACTCTCCACATGTGACTGCTCCCCTCAGAGCCGCTTCCAGGGGAGGGGTTCTAACCCTGTGGGTGGGGACACTGTGTTAGTTTACACAGAGGGGCCATGGCTCCCTCTGACATCTCCAACTCAGAGGCAGTGGAGAGAAGATGAGAAATTCCCTGCACCTCCTCCCTCAGCACCCACCTCTGCACACATCCACATATGGAGACCCTGACGGTGGTCCCTGGGAGTGCTGCCATCTGCGCCTCCTTTCCATGCCTGCAGCAGCCATGCCCACTCTCCAGACCCTCACCCACCTGGCTCAGTAGGGGCTGCACTGCCCTGGGTCCTGCCCGTACACCTGGGCCTCTGTACCCATCAGTTCCCCCAGTCGGGTTCTTATTTCCCCCAACAAGTAGGGAGCCTATAAGGTCACCTGCTGAGCAAGCTGGGGGAGAGAGTAGCGCGGCACTGGGAGGATGAGGAGGAGAAGCTTATGGTCGTGCTGGAGACTCAGCGGAGCAGAGTCTATGCAGGCCCATTGGCTGTCTAGCCAGTGCTGATCCCGCTCTCACCCTCGTTTCTTCTTTAACAAAACCATGACCTCATTAAATATTGGAAACCTATAAACCTCATAGACCCTCCTCCAGCCTCCCCGCCATGTATTGGTGAGTCTAAGTCAACTCTAGTCATTTCATTCCTCTGGACACTGATTGCCTGGGGCTTGGGCATGAGCTGCCTCTTCACCTGAGCCTGAGCCACACGTGTCCTCTGCACCTACCAACTGATGCACTGGGCCAGGGAGAGCTCCGTCTCGATGGAGATGAGCTGTGAGGAGCTGGTGGCCGGGCGGATCACGTTGTTGTAATGGGTTTTGTTCAGAGGGTCGTCCATCAGCTTCTGCTCAGCATGGACCATGCAGCAGTCCCCTGGGTAAACACACAGACATGCTGGGCCCTTGAGCAGCTGTCCCCCACTGCAGCTGACAGCTACAAAGTGGGAGCCGAGAGGGCCAGGGAGCACAGGCACCCTGAGGGCCAGCTGAAGCAGTGAAGGCGGTGGCGGGCCTGGCTCTCCCTGGGAACCTCAAATGACATTCATGACAGAGCTCAGCTACCTCCTCCCATGCCACACCTCTTCCTCCTCCTCCTCCCTCGATCAGTGAACAGCATCCCACGCTCCACACATCTGATACGAAACTGGGTGTCTCTTCCAGACTCCTCCCTCAGTTCATCCAAGTGGCCACCAAGTCCTGTCTGTCCTCCCATCTCCACGGCTACAGCCATGTCCCTGCCTCCCCCGCCCTGTCCACCTTCTCTTCTCTCCACCTGCACTCTGCCCCCGCCATCCATGTGCCGTACAGTGGCAGACTGGTCTTTCTACAGCACACTGGACTAGCGCCCTTCCCTGCCCACAGCTCTCAGAGCTGGAGGTGGAGTTGAAACTCATGGTTTGGCATTCAGAGCTCTTTCCCCCTCAGCACTGGCTTATCCAGAGCGCTCACAGTGCGGGGCAGTTATGAATTTACCGTTTATGAAGAACTTGCCACATACTATTAGTGGTTTTTCAATCATGTCAGAATCACCCGGATGCCTGTGTAAATGCAAATTCCCAGGCTTCATTCCCAGAGACTCTGGTCCTGTGAGCCTAGGGTGGGGCCCGGAAATCTCTATGGGGTGGTGCAGGCTGCCCCAGGACCACACCTAAGAAACACTGCAACTCCCCACACACTTCCAAGTCCCCAAATACGTAGGCAGGTATCTCATCTCCATAGAACAGGTAGGGAAACTGAGGTCCAGAGTGGGGAAAGAAATGACACAGGGTCACCCAGCAAGTAGTAGCAGAGCCACGACACACCCACTGCCTGAGGACACCATCTCTGATGACAGCTCCCCCTCCCTACAGGAATCTTGCCCACCCCCACCCCTACCTCCTGCTGCCCCTATGGTGAGTCTCTGTACAAGGAAGATGTAGCCCTGGTCCTCTAGGCTGACTAGGGCTCAGAGGAAAAGCTTGGCCCAGAGTGTAGGAGCTAGAAGGGTTCTTGGAATTCAGGTGAGGAAATTGAGGCCCAAAGAAGGGAGTCCTCAGATTTAAACTCTGTCTGGAGAAGGTCTGGGTCCCCTTCCTGAGTGGTAGGTTTGACTTCACCAGCCCGGCCCTCAGTCAAGCTGTCTGTCCAGGCCCACCACACCTCGGGGTGGGTGACCAGAGGCTGCGGTGCCATAAAACAGGTTTCCTGGGAGATCTACCCCCAAAGCTCAAAACATCCCAGGGCTGGTGATTTGGGCACGCCCCCTTCCCTCTCAGCCCGGTTTCCCCATCTCTACAATAGCTGTGTTGGAGGAGACTTCTCTCTGAGACTGAGCTGCAGATGTTCTCCCAGGTGCCTACACCTCCCAGGTTGCTGGCTCCTCTGTGCCCACTCTTCAAGACAGTCACCTCTGAGGTGAGGAAGGAGCCTCAGCCCTATCGGAAATGGGGACCGGTGCACCCCCAGCCTCCCAGACTGCTGGGGATGACCTGGGCTGCCTGCAAAGCCAGCAGCACTGCTGCCCAGGCCACAGACACCCACCAGGGAAGGTGGCCCTGGCCCTTACAGCAGCTCTGAGAAGAGGCAGCCCCCAGTCCAAACCTCGCTGAGTCACCCACACCTTCCCTCAGCTCAAAGAGGCTTTTAGGACATGCATCATCTCAAGTTCATACCCATGGGGTTGCTGAAAGAAAGGACAGTGTGGTATGAGCTGGTGCGAGGGAGGGCTGCTCTCTGCAGACTTTGCAGGGAGGGCACTTAGGAAAAAGGACAAATCTGGGAGGGTAATTAGCTCAGGGTTAAAGGGAGCGGATAGGGCTGGAGTGGGCTGGC